GCAGACTCCGATCTTCCTGGGACTGGGGTGATATTGGTGTACACGGGTAGACTCCTATATTCATGGGTCTGGGGGTTATATTGGGGTACAGGGGCAGACTCTTATTTTCCTGGGTCTGGGGGTCATATTGGGGTACTCGGGCAGACTCCGATCTTCCTGGGACTGGGGTGATATTGGGGTACACGGGTAGACTCCTATATTCATGGGTCTGGGGGTTATATTGGGGTACAGGGGCAGACTCTTATTTTCCTGGGTCTGGGGGTTATATTGGGGTACACGGGCAGACTCCGATCTTCCTTGGTCTGGGGGTTATATTGGGGTACACGGGCAGACTCTTATTTTCCTGAGTCTGGGGGTGATATTGGGGTACACGGGCACATTCTGATCTTCCTGGGTCTGCGGTGGGATTGGGGTACAGGGGCAGACTCCGGTCTTCCTGGGTCTGGGGGTGATATTGGGGTACACTGGCAGACTCTGATCTTCCTGGGTCTGGGGGTGATATTGAGGAGGAAGGGGTCGATGGGGGCTCACTGGGGTAAAAGGAAGATCATCAGTGTGATGACAGTAAACTCCTCTTCCCCCTGACTGATTGGCTGCAGAGATTTTCCAGCATGCTGGCAATTTTTCTGCCAACAGATCTAGGTTTTGTAGGAGGAGTTTTTATTCTGTTATCTGTCTCACACTGGCTGACCGCAGCGGGAGGGTTTATATGACCGCCTGCGCTGCCCCCCATTCCCACCGATTCATAAATACGGGAAATCAATTCGCTTTCCACTCCCATTTGTGATAAGTGGCAGTTGTGCGCAGAATGCGGGACGGGCCATGGCAGGAAGTCATGTATACAATGTAACAATGCAACTGCCATTTGTTACACAGCAGACACCCAGCATGCTGGCAGATCACACAGAACATAACAGAGAATTTCCGGTCCTCATGAGATGCGGGCATTTCGGTCCCTGGAGAAGGATGGCACGGCTGGACCGCAGAGCTGACACTCACACGGGGAGGACTTTCAATGTCATCTGTATGGTTCTTCAATCCCTGGACTCTGCCTCCCCCTGCTGGACACATACAGGACTTCATGCTGTAAGATACAGTCCTGCTGAAGTTTGCACCCCCTGCTATGTCGGCATATTGGAAATCTGACGGGTCGTGCCAAAAACGGCCATTTATTTTTAGAAACCGTATAATCAGTCTGTAGATGAAGCCAGGGAAGAAGAATAGGTGCAGGAAATCCCCCCCCCCCCCCCCCCTCCGGGGTCACCCCTTATCTTTTCCCCCTACCCACCTCCCAGCATCCCCCCTCTTTCTAGAGAATACAGAACCAAGTATTGTTTTGTTGTGCTAAGTGGATCTATGAATCAGTACATCCCCCCAATAATAAACCCCCCAGCACAAATGGACCCTGCCCCCGCAACAAAACACCCTCCCAGGAACAATAAATCCACCCCATCAACAACAGACCAGCAGCCAGCATCAATATTCCGGAAATAGAGATCCCTCCCAGCAACAATAGATTCCCCACATACAAACAGATCCCCTCCAGTGACAATAGATCCCCCAGCAGTAGGTGTGTGTGTAGTGTTTGCTGTAGGTGTGTGCGCTCTACTGCAGATGAGCAGATGCAGTACTGAAGTCCAGCAAGTGGTGCCTCAGTCTGCCAGGAGGAGATGCAGTACTGGCAGAGTCCAGCAGGTGGCGCCCCAGTCCACCGGGAGGAGACGTAGTACTGGCAGAGTCCAGCAGGTGGCGCCCTAGTCCACCGGGAGGAGACGCAGTACTGGAAAATTCCCGCAGGTGGCGCCCCAGTCTGCCAGGTGGCAATGCAGTACTTGCGGAGTCCAGCAGGTGGCGCTTCAGTCCACCGGGAGGAGACGCAGTACTGGCAGAGTCCAGCAGGTGGCGCCCCAGTCCACCGGGAGGAGACGTAGTACTGGCAGAGTCCAGCAGGTGGCGCCCCAGTCCTCCAGGAGGCATTGCAGCACTGGCAGAGTCCAGCAGGTGGCGCCCCAGTCCACCGGGAGGAGACGTAGTACTGGCAAAGTCCAGCAGGTGGCGCCCCAGTCCTCCAGGAGGCTTTGCAGTACTGGCAGAGTCCAGCAGGTGGCGCCCCAGTCCTCCAGGAGGCATTGCAGTACTGGCAGAGTCCAGCAGGTGGCGCCCCAGTCCACCGGGAGGAGACGCAGTACTGGCAGAGTCCAGCAGGTGGCGCCCCAGTCCTCCAGGAGGCATTGCAGTACTGGCAGAGTCCAGCAGGTGGCGCCCCAGTCCACCGGGAGGAGACGTAGTACTGGCAGAGTCCAGCAGGTGGCGCCCCAGTCCACCGGGAGGAGACGTAGTACTGGCAGAGTCCAGCAGGTGGCGCCCCAGTCCACCAGAAGGAGATGCAGTATTGGCAGAGTCCAGCAGGTGGCGCCTCAGTCCACCGGGAGGAGATGCAGTACTGGCAGAGTCCAGCAGGTGGTGCCCCAGTCCACCGGGAGGAGATGCAGTACTGGCAGAGTCCAGCAGGTGGCGCCCCAGTCCACCGGGAGGAGATGCAGTAGTGGCAGAGTCCAGCAGGTGGCGACTCAGCCCACCAGAAGGAGACGTAGTACTGGCAAGCAGAGTCCAGCAGGTGGCGCCCCAGTCCTCCAGGAGGCATTGCAGTACTGGCAGAGTCCAACATGTTGCGCCCCAGTCCACCAGAAGGAGATGCAGTATTGGCAGAGTCCAGCAGGTGGCGCCCCAGTCCACCGGGAGGAGACGTAGTACTGGCAGAGTCCAGCAGGTGGCACCCTAGTCCTCCAGGAGGCATTGCAGTACTGGCAGAGTCCAGCAGGTGGCGCCCCAGTCCACCGGGAGGAGACGTAGTACTGGCAGAGTCCAGCAGGTGGCGCCCCAGTCCTCCAGGAGGCATTGCAGTACTGGCAGAGTCCAGCAGGTGGCGCCCCAGTCCACCGGGAGGAGACGTAGTACTGGCAGAGTCCAGCATGTTGCGCCCCAGTCCACCAGAAGGAGATGCAGTATTGGCAGAGTCCAGCAGGTGGCGCCTCAGTCCACCGGGAGGAGATGCAGTACTGGCAGAGTCCAGCAGGTGGTGCCCCAGTCCAACGGGAGGAGAGATGCAGTATTGGCAGAGTCCAGCAGGTGGCGCCCCAGTCCACCGGAAGGAGACGCAGTACTGGCAGAGTCCAGCAGGTGGCGCCCCAGTCCTCCAGGAGGCATTGCAGTACTGGCAGAGTCCAGCAGGTGGCACCCCAGTTCACCGGGAGGAGACGCAGTACTGGCAGAGTCCAGCAGGTGGCACCCCAGTCCACCGGGAGCAGACGTAGTACTGGCAGAGTCCAGCAGGTGGCGCCCTAGTCCACCGGGAGGAGACGCAGTACTGGAAAATTCCAGCAGGTGGTGCCCCAGTCCACAGGGAGGAGACGTAGTACTGGCAGAGTCCAGCAGGTGGCGCCCCAGTCCTCCAGGAGGCATTGCAGTACTGGCAGAGTCCAGCAGGTGGCACCCCAGTCCACCGGGAGGAGACGTAGTACTGGCAGAGTCCAGCAGGTGGCGCCCCAGTCCACCAGAAGGAGATGCAGTACTGGCAGAGTCCAGCAGGTGGCACCCTAGTCCTCCAGGAGGCATTGCAGTACTGGCAGAGTCCAGCAGGTGGCGCCCCAGTCCTCCAGGAGGCATTGCAGTACTGGCAGAGTCCAGCAGGTGGCACCCCAGTCCACCGGGAGGAGACGTAGTACTGGCAGAGTCCAGCAGGTGGCGCCCCAGTCCACCGGGAGGAGACGTAGTACTGGCAGAGTCCAGCAGGTGGCGCCCCAGTCCTCCAGGAGGCATTGCAGTACTGGCAGAGTCCAGCAGGTGGCGCCCCAGTCCACCGGGAGGAGACGTAGTACTGGCAGAGTCCAGCATGTTGCGCCCCAGTCCACCAGAAGGAGATGCAGTATTGGCAGAGACCAGCAGGTGGCGCCTCAGTCCACCGGGAGGAGACGCAGTACTGGCAGAGTCCAGCAGGTGGCGCCCCAGTCCACCGGGAGGAGACGCAGTACTGGAAAAGTCCCGCAGGTGGCGCCCCAGTCCACCGGGAGGAGATGCAGTACTGGCAGAGTCCAGCAGGTGGCGCCCCAGTCCACCGGGAGCAGACGTAGTACTGGCAGAGTCCAGCAGGTGGCGCCCCAGTCCACCGGGAGGAGACACAGTACTGGCAGAGTCCAGCAGGTGGCGCCCCAGTCCACCGGGAGGAGATGCAGTACTGGCAGAGTCCAGCAGGTGGCGTCCCAGTCCACCGGGAGGAGACGCAGTATTGGCAGTGTCCAGCAGGTGGCACCCCAGTCCACCGGGAGGAGATGCAGTACTGGCATAGTCCAGCAGGCGGCGCCCCAGTCCACCGGGAGGAGACGCAGTACTGGCAGAGTCCAGCAGTTGGCACCCCAGTCCACCGGGAGGAGACGCAGTACTGGAAAAGTCCCGCAGGTGGCGCCCCAGTCCACCGGGAGGAGATGCAGTACTGGCAGAGTCCAGCAGGTGGCGCCCCAGTCCACCGGGAGCAGACACAGTACTGGCAGAGTCCAGCAGGTGGCGCCCCAGTCCACCGGGAGGAGACGCAGTACTGGCAGAGTCCAGCAGGTGGCGCCCCAGTCCACCGGGAGGAGATGCAGTACTGGCAGAGTCCAGCAGGTGGCGCCCCAGTCCACACCGGGAGGAGATGCAGTACTGGCAGAGTCCAGCAGGTGGCGCCCCAGTCCACCGGGAGGAGACGCAGTACTGGCAGTGTCCAGCAGGCGGCGCCCCAGCATCCCATTCACAGTCCATAGACATATAATGCCCCCATAATATCTATCTGAGTGATAACAATGTAACAATATAATGGAGTCACCATGAAGGGGCGGTCCCTCCGGTGATTGGCCGACACACAGAACCCGACACCAGACACAGCCAGGAGCTGACAACTTTTATTTATTTCAATGTGAACTTCCAGACATTCCGCGGGGGAGGGGAGGGGGAAGGCTGGAAGGATCTCACAGTAGGATGCAGACCAATCGCTTGTCCCGGAATGGATTCTCCGCTGCCGGAACCGGAGCAACGAGCGGATCGGAGACGGCATGAGACTGGCAGAAGGTCATAATGTCGGAGACCACCGCAGACACCTGGAGGGGGGAAGAGAGAGGTGACACACAATGCAACTCAGTCAGTGCAGGTCTACTGCTGAACATAAAACAACTGGAAAATAAACACCGGGAACGCCTGAATCAGCTCCGCCCTTCACAGAGAACGCCCCCCAGAATCGTCCTGTCAGGGGAAGGTGGGCGGAGTTTTATCACATCAATGGCAGACCGCCATGCGTCCGGGATCTGCATCACGGCCAAGAGGAATCCCAATATATATCATAGTATATGGTAACAGGGAGACAGTATATACAGAGCCTGGAAAAGTCTTCACACCCCTGAAATGTCCCCATGTTGTCATGTGACCACCAGAACCAGGATTGGATGTGATGGATCGACACAAAGTGGCACATAATTGTGAAGTGGAAGGAAAATGAGAAATGGTTCCAACATTTGTGACCAATAAATCTGTGAGAAGTGTGGGGGCATTTGTATTCAGCCCCCTTTACTCTGATCCCCCTAACTACAATCTAGTGGAACCAACTGCCTTCAGTAGTCACCTGATTAGTACATAGAGCCCCCCCCCCTCGGTGTGTCATGTGATCTCAGGATAAATCCAGCTGTTCTGTGAAGCCCTCAGAGGTTTGTTAGAGAACATTAGTGAACAAACAGCATCATGAAGGCCAAGGAACACACCAGACAGGTCAGGGATAAAGTTGTAGAGAAGTGTAAAGCAGGGTTAGGTTATAAAACAATCTCCCGAGCTTTGCCCATCTCACGGAGCACTGTGTTCAATCCATCATCCGAGAATGGGAAGAGTACGGCACAACTGCCAACCTACCAAGACATGGCCGTCCACCAAAACTGACCGGCCGGGCAAGGAGAGCATTCATCAGAGGAGCAGCCAAGAGGCTCATGGGAACTCTGGAGGAGCTGCAGAGATCACAGCTCAGGGGGGGAGAATCTGTCCTCAGGACAACTATTAGTCATCCACAAATCTGCCTTTATGGAAGAGTGACAAGAAGAAGCCATTGTTGGAGGAAAGCCATAAGAAGTCCCGTCTGCAGGTTGTGAGAAGCCATGTGGGGGACACAGCAAACATGTGGAAGGGGCTCTGGTCAGAGGAGACCAACATGGGACTTTACGGCCTAAAAGTGTGGAGGAAAACTAACACCGCCCATCCCCCTGAACACACCATCCCCACCGTGAAACATGGTGGTGGCAGCATCATGTGGTGGGGATGCTTCTCTTCAGCAGGGACAGGGAAGCTGGTCAGAGTTGATGGGAAGATGGATGGAGCCAAATACAGGGCAATCTTAGAAGAAAACCTGTTAGAACCTGCAGAAGACCTGAGACCGGGGCGGAGGTTCCCCTTCCAGCAGGACAACGACCCGAAACATCCAGCCAGACCTACAATGGAATGGTTCCCATCAAAGCATCTTCATGGGTTAGAATGAACCAATCACAGTCCAGACCCAAATCCAATGGAGGATCTGTGGCCAGACCTGAGAATTGCTGTTCCCAGACGCTCTCCATCCAATCTGACAGCTTGAGGGATTCTGCAAAGAAGAACGGGCAGAAATGTCCCTCTCTAGATGTGCAAAGAGACATCCCCAAAAAGACTTGCAGCTGGAATGGCAGCCAAAGGGGGTCCTGCAAAGTACTGACTCCGGGGGGCCGAATACAAATGTCTCCACACTTCTCACAGATTTATTGGCCACAAATGTTGGAACCATTTCTCATTCTCCTTCCACTTCACAATTATCTGCCACTTTCTGTCCATCACATCCAATCCCAATCCATACACACGGACGGTTCTGGTGGTCACATGACAACATGGGGGACATTTCGGGGGAGGAACTTCTTCAAGGCTCTGTATATATATAATGGTAACATTGATACAGTCAGCAGGATAACCCTCATCATTGGCTGAATGAAATACATTTCCATAAAAAGCATAATATTGCTGCTATGTGCATAAAGATTAGGGTGCTCTGTGCTCTGATTTGGGGTGTTCTGAGCTCAGATTTGGGGTGCTCTGTGCTCTGATTTGGGGTGCTCTGTACTCTGATTTGGGGTGCTCTGTGCTTTGATTTGGGGTGCTCTGTGCTCTGATTTGGGGTGCTCTGTACTCTGATTTGGGGTGTTCTGAGCTCTGATTTGGGGTGCTCTGTGCCCTGATTTGGGGTGCTGTGATTTGGGGTGCTCTGTGCTCTGATTTGGAGTGTTCTGAGCTCAGATTTGGGGTGCTCTGTGCTTTGATTTGGGGTGCTCTGTGCTCTGATTTGGGGTGCTCTGTACTCTGATTTGGGGTGTTATGTGCCCTGATTTGGGGTGCTCTGTGCCCTGATTTGGGGTGCTCTGTGCTCTGATTTGGGGTGCTCTGAACTCTGATTTGGGGTGTTCTGTGCCCTGATTTGGGGTGCTCTGTGCCCTGATTTGGGGTGCTCTGATTTGGAGTGTTCTTAGCTCTGATTTGGGGTGCTCTGATTTGGAGTGTTCTTAGCTCTGATTTGGTGTGTTATGAGCTCTGATTTGAGGTGTTCTGTGCCCTGATTTGGGGTGCTCTGAGCTCCGATTTGGGGTGCTCTGTGCTCTGATTTGGGGTGCTCTGAACTCTGATTTGGGGTGTTCTGTGCCCTGATTTGGGGTGCTCTGTGCCCTGATTTGGGGTGCTCTGATTTGGAGTGTTCTTAGCTCTGATTTGGAGTGTTCTTAGCTCTGATTTGGGGTGTTATGAGCTCTGATTTGAGGTGTTCTGTGCCTCGATTTGGGGTGCTCTGAGCTCTGATTTGGGGTGCTCTGATTTGGGGTGCTCTGAGCTCTGATTTGGGGTGCAAGGCGTTCTTGTTCTTTATATTTTATACATTTTTGTATAGGACCATCACTAACAGACATAAGCAACCCGTCACACTGACCCCACCATACTGAGAGTGACCCCCCCCCCCCATAAAGATTAGGGTGCTCTGTGCTCTGATTTGGGGTGTTCTGAGCTCAGATTTGGGGTGCTCTGTGCTTTGATTTGGGGTGCTCTGTGCTCTGATTTAGGGTGCTCTGTACTCTGATTTGGGGTGTTCTGAGCTCTGATTTGGGGTGCTCTGTGCCCTGATTTGGGGTGCTCTGATTTGGGGTGCTCTGTGCCCTGATTTGGGGTGCTCTGTGCTCTGATTTGGAGTGTTCTGAGCTCAGATTTGGGGTGCTCTGTGCTTTGATTTGGGGTGCTCTGTGCTCTGATTTGGGGTGCTCTGTACTCTGATTTGGGGTGTTCTGTGCCCTGATTTGGGGTGCTCTGTGCCCTGATTTGGGGTGCTCTGATTTGGAGTGTTCTTAGCTCTGATTTGGGGTGCTCTGAACTCTGATTTGGGGTGTTCTGTGCCCTGATTTGGGGTGCTCTGATTTGGAGTGTTCTTAGCTCTGATTTGGGGTGCTCTGATTTGGAGTGTTCTTAGCTCTGATTTGGGGTGTTATGAGCTCTGATTTGAGGTGTTCTGTGCCTCGATTTGGGGTGCTCTGAGCTCTGATTTGGGGTGCTCTGATTTGGGGTGCTCTGAGCTCTGATTTGGGGTGCAAGGCGTTCTTGTTCTTTATATTTTATACATTTTTGTATAGGACCATCACTAACAGACATAAGCAACCCGTCACACTGACCCACCATACTGAGAGTGACCCCCCCCCCCACTGACATTGAGCCCCTAATAATAATGGAGATTTTTAAATTCCACTAAGCCAACCACCTGCAGACCCCCACAACCCTGGGCAGTGGTTGTGGGGGTCTTCAGGTGGGGGGTGGCCTTGTCCTTCTCAGAGATGGGGACATGATCTCAACTTACCAGGAAGAACACGGGGACATGATTTTATAGTAAGAACATGAGGGCATGACCTCAACCCAGCAGGAAGAACATGAGACATGACCTCAACCCAGCAGGAAGAACACGGGGACGTAACCTCAACCCAGCAGGAAGAACACGAGACATGACCTCAACCCAGCAGGAAGAACATGGGGACGTGACCTCAACCTGGGAAAAGAACAGGATGACATGACCTCAACCTAAGAGGCAGAACACAGGGGCAGGACCTCAACATAGGAGGAAGAACATAGGGACATGACCTCAATCTAGGAGGAAGACCATGGAAGCATGACCTCAATCTAGGAGGAAGATCATTGGGGCAGGACCACAACCTAGCAGGAAGAATGCAGGGACATGACCTCAATCTAGCATGAAGAATACAGGGAAGTGACCTCAACGTAGGAAGAAAAACATGGGGACATAGAAATGTGATGGCAGAAAAAGACCAAGCGGTTCATAGAGTCTTCCCCTTTTTTGGGGGGAGGGGTTGTTTTGTTGTTTACTTTTTTGTCTGAGTAAGAACATGGGGACATGACCTCAACCCAGAAGCAAGAACACAAAGCCATGACCTCAACCCAGGAAGATCATGGGAATGTGACCTCAATCTAGGAAAAAAGAACATGGGGACATGACCTCAACCTACAGTAGGAAGAAGAACAAAAGGACATGGCATCAACCTAGAAAGAAGAAGAGGAACATGCAGACGTGACCTCAACCTAAAAAGAAGATCTTGGGAACTTGACCTCAACCTAGGAGGAAGAACACAGGGACATGACCTCAATCTAGGAAGAAGAACATGGGAATATGACATCAACCTAACAGGAAGAACACAGGGACATGACCTCAATCCAGGAGGAAAGACATGGGGACATGAACAGAAACTAAGAGGAAGAAAACAGGGGCATGACCTCAACCTAGGAAGAAGAACAAGGGGACATGACCTGAATGTTGGAGGAAGAACACAGGACATAACCTCAATCTAAGAGGAAGGACATGGGGACATGAGCTCAATCTAAGAGGCAGAACACAGGGGCAGGACCTCAACATAGGAGGAAGAACATAGGGACATGACCTCAATCTAGGAGGAAGACCATGGAAGCATGACCTCAATCTAGGAGGAAGATCATTGGGGCAGGACCACAACCTAGCAGGAAGAATGCAGGGACATGACCTCAATCTAGCATGAAGAATACA